ATGACTGCTCCTTTCAGCGACCATTCGGAGTTATGATGGTGCTGAATGAGTAGCAGGTTCGACCAGTCCTTGAAGTTGTAATTCGAGAACTGTCTGTAGTAAAGATCTCTCTCTCTCTCTCTCTCTCTCTCTCTCTCTCTCTCTCTCTCTCTCTCTGTCTCTCTCTCTCTCTCTCTCTCTCTCTCTCTCTCTCACTCACTCACTCACTCTCACTCTCACTCTCTCTCTTTCACCTTGCAATCCTTCATCATCTCAGTTCAATATTTGTTCAGGACAAAAATCCAGTCCTTTTTAAGTTCTTGGCAACCAGTTGTAGGTGACAAGACGTTCGTTGTACAATGAGTAAATGAGAACTCCTACTCAAGCCAGTGAGGAGGTTACCTGGGGACAAATCTCTCTCCCCATGGAGTCCAGCGAAACTGACGGGCTCCTCAAAGGTCCTTGTGACATCCTTGTGGTTTGTTTTTAAGGACGCCCTTAAAATCCTTTCTGCTCTCTGCAAACCACGAACAAGTAAACATTTCGTTTGAAAAAAACCATTGCACGTTTTGGATAAGATTGCACTGACTTCACGAGCTTTCTAAAGGAAGGAAGCTGTAAAAGAGCCTTGGTAGTACAGTGGTCTAAGGCACCCTGTTATTAAGCTGGTTATTAAGACCAGCTGCCTGCAATTACTGCAGGTTCGAATCTCGCCAAGGCTCAAGGTTGACTCAGCCTTCCATCCTTTCTAAGGTAGGTAAATTGAGGACCCAGTTGTGGGGGCAATAAGCTGACTTTGTATAAATATACAAAAGGATGAAGGCTATTGCTGAGAACATTGTAAGCCGCACTGAATCTCCGGAGAAGGGCGGCATATAAATCAAATTAAAAAATAATAAAAAAATAAAAATAAAACAGGGGTGTCCCAACTGGATTTCTTTGAGGGCCGGATCAGCATTGTAGCTCCCCTCCTTGGCCCGGCCGCAGAGGTGGGGTGGGTGGGGAGAAAAGAACGGGTACAGGTTGAATGCCTCCTGCAGCACCTGCCGGCCAAAACGGGGCACAGAGCAGCTTTGCACGGCCCCCCCTGCGTCCCGTTTTCAGCCTGGACGGCCTTCTGCAGCACTTTGCTGGCCAAAGTGGGGTAACCCCCACACAGCCCGTTTTTGACCACCTGCAGCACTCTGCTGGCCGAAAACGGGCTGCTGGGGGACCCCACGCGGCCCGTGTTTGGCCGGCAGAGTCACCACGGGCCGGTCCTTTGGTATTTCCAGGCCAGCCCTGTGGACCAGATCTAAGCACCCTTGCAGGCCGCATCCAGCCTGTGGGCCTTGACTTTGACGCCCCTGTTGCAAAATATCTTTTATTTCAGTGATAGATTGATTTAACAAAATATCAAACCAAATTTAATACATCAGGAATGGGCAACTGGGACCCTTTTACAACCTGTGGACTTCAACTCCCAGATTTCCTGAGACAGCTGCCTCAGGAATTCTGGGAGTTGAAGTCCACAGGTTGTAAAAGGGCCACAGTTGCCCACCCCTGTAATACATGAAGACTTTACTGTGTGCAGGTGGTCCTTGACTTAACAACAGTTTGTTTAGTGACCGTTGGAAGTTACAACGGCCCTGAAAAAAGGGACTTACGACCGTTATTCACACTTAACGACCGTTGCAGCAATCCCTGTGGTCATGTGATTGAAATTCTGATTCATATTTATGACGGTTGCAGTGTCTCAAAGTCTTGTGATCCCCTATTGTGACCTTGGGACAAGCAAAGGAAAGGCAGATTCACTCAACCGTGTGACTAATGTTAAGGATATTGTTGTGTTACCAACCAGCAGAGTAAGTGCACAGAGAAACGGTACTGAGAGCAATGAATACAATACATACAAACTGGTTTAACAAAGCTTTTACTTTGTAGTGAAAAACAATTGCATAGTCTTTTAGTCAATCCAAGTCTTTAGCCATTCAAATCAGTCCGAAGTTACAGATATCTTCTTACCAGACAAACAGCAGTAATTGACGCTGGTAACAAATCACGATGATAGCAGATCCATCCACTTCTTCACACACAACAGTAACAGTTTCAACCAGCAAGTCAAGCAGCAAGTCAAGCAATGATGAGAGCAGTTCCAACAATGACTATAGCTCGGCTTCCTTCTTATATACAGTTTATACTAGTAATTATCCACTTAAGATAAGTGAAGTCAGCAGTGCAATGACTGAACAGTACAATTATGATAATTGCAGTCAGCAGTTAGTCAGCAGTCATTAGTCATTACAATGACTCAGCAGTACAATTACTCAGCATTACATCTTAGAGTTACAGAATACATTTAAAGTTATAGAACACATATATTGCCTGGACAACCTGTTAGGCTTACACCATATCCTAACAACTAACTTAACAGTGGCAGTGGTTTGCTTAACAACTTCGGCAAGCAAGGTCATAAAATGGGGCAAAACTCCCTTAACAAATGTCTCGCTTAGCAACATAAATATCGGGCTGAATTGTGGTCGTAAGTTGAGGGCTACCTGTATTTCCGTCAATATAACCCTTAGCCGTTGGGTTTAAAAACACAATTTTGTCCCCAAAAGATTAGCCGAGTTAAATCTTGGCTTTCAGGAACAAGAAAAAGGACCCAGGTGGCTGCAGAGATTAGATCTTCCATTTTTAGTGGACTTCCTCTGTTGATTAAATTAAAAGGAGCTTCATTAAATAGCAGATTTGTGCAAAATGTTGTCGAGCTGCCAAATAACTTTGCCCAACCGACTTAACAAATCATGAAGGAGGATTCCCGCTCAGTTTGGCATCCTGTTAAACTTTCCGGTTGGAAGGCTAAAAAAATAATAATAATTAGATAATGAACAATACTTCCCTGGAAAGATTATTTTTAAAATCCAGCAGTGATAGGTTTTAGGGTAACATCTCGACTTGTCCATTTCCTGGTCTGAATATTATTATTGTATTGGAAGGAAAATCCAACTGGGTTCAGTTCCAAGCCAGGAGAAAGATGCTGGAAATAAAACAGAGGCTGGAGGTTGATTGGAAAGGAGGACCATTTATTGATGAAGCAGAACCAACCGGGTTTGTGGTTCTGGGCCAGTTTACCAACTGAGTTTGGTTTCGCATGGTTTTTACGGAATTGTGCAATCTGGAGACTTGCTTTGTGTGTTTTTATGATTTGTTTGGCTTTTACTTGTTTCGCAAAGGCTCATGATGGGTCTTAATTATCATTTCCTTAATCCTAATGCTGTTGGACATGTGTAATTGATTTTATCTAACCTCTTTCCCCGAAAATAAGGCCTAGCATGATTTTTCAGGATGCTCGTAATATAAGCCGTACCCCAAAAATAAGCCCCAGTTAAGATCGTCAGCAGACAGAGGTACTGTACTTTCCCCAAAATAAGACCTAACCAGAAATGAGTCTTTTGGAGCAAAAATTAATATAAGACCTGGTCTTATTTTGGGGAAAACATGGGTCTTACCTCTAGCCTGCTTTTCTTAATGGACAGGTATTATTTCTACTTTTCCCAATGTCCTGTCCTTTATCCCATCACCCTGGAGCTCTTTTGTCTTGGGAATAGGCTGGCCCAATCTAAGGAGAAATTTCCTGACAGTTAGAACAATTAAACCAGTGGAACAACTTGCCTCCAGAAGTTGTCAATTGTCCCTTTTAAGAAGAGATTGGACAACCATTGGTCTGAAATGGCATTCAGTGGTGGCGAACCTATGGCACGCATGCCAGAGGTGGTATTCAGAGACCTCTCTGTGGGCAATTGCGCGCCATTGCCCCAACTCCACTCCCTTGCGTTTCTTGGCGTTGTTTGCAGGGAAACGAAAGTTAGTGCAGGACCGAAGCATCCCTGCACTTGCCTTTGCGCAAAACAGCATTCCACCTTCATCACGGTCCATTTGCTGTTGCTTCCTCCATGGCCTGATCTCTTCCCTCGCAGCGCCTTGTGCAGCACAGTGACAATAAGCGTGCTTAACAATGTGGGAGACTGAGTCCCCTCCTCCCGGAGCCCATTACAACACGGAGCCACAATGCGACCCTGCGTCATGGGCTCGCTCTCGCCTCCTGGATGACAGTTGCTTTTCCTGCAGAGCTGCCTGTGTTGGGATGCCCCGTCTCCCCACCGGCCAGCTGCGTCTGCCTCCGGACGTCAGATTCCCACTACCCAGCATCAGTTCAGGGGTTCCTTCCCTCCTCCCCGGGAGAAAGAGGGAGGGAAAAAGAGAGAGAGAGAAACAGAGAGAAGGTGGGAAGAGAGGGAGGGAACGAGAGAGAGGGAGAGAAAAAGGGAGGTAAAGAGAAATGATATTACAAAAGTTTTTCTTTTTTATTGTTGCTAAACGTAATATTTCAAAAGCAGGAAAAAAAATGAAGGAGCATAAAAGTGCATTTATCAAGTTTTTCTTAGAACAATTAGCTGAACTCTTGCCTCGTTTATCATTATTTTAGGTAGTAAAACCTCATTATTCAGGTTAAATTGCCGTGTTGGCACTTTGTGATAAATAAGTGGGTTTTGGGTTGCAGTGTGGGCACTCGGTCTCAAAAAGGTTCACCGTCACTGGTTTCCTGCCTGTTATTCTATTCTAATCTAATTTTTCTTAATGGGCGCAAAATATCTGCTGGGGGCTATTCAGAAAGACATGAGTCTGTTTTCTGTCTTTAAGAGCATGTTTCTCCCTTTGGGGAAGTATAACATTTTTTTAATATTTCCCAAAATATTTCATTTTTCGGGGAGGGGGGGAGCTTCCCACAATTTCATTGCATAGTCATTTATGTTCCACGATCCAATCTGGGTCGGTCTTTGGGACCAGAAGTTTTGTCTTCCGTCCTTGAAGTAATGAACATAACAGAACTTTCCTATTTATAGTGGAAAAACTTTTTTCAGGGCCGTCGTTAAACCTGAACAGTCACTAAACGAATGGTTGTAAGTTCGAGGACTGAGCCGTTTGAAGGTTCCGTTCGGCGGCTGTAGAATTTCAACCCGTCTTCTTTTCCTTCCCAGGTGTGGCTGGCGCATTGTGACTTGGGAAGGTGCCAAGGATGGAAATCCAAGAACGGAGATGAAATTATTTGGCGCGGCGTTGGGCTATATCGGGCACCGTTCTGGAAATCGGTTCTAATTTTGGTAAGTCACCCAGCGCTGAAGGATGATGGGGTGGATTGTCCCAAACAGAAGGAAGCTGCTTTATTTGAGATGCTGTTGTAAACCGAGGACTGCCTGTTTCTTTTTTAGCTTTTTAAATTGTCAATGGGTTTTAGTTTGAATGTTTTAAATTTTGGGCCAAAGTCATGTAATTCTTTTAAAAATTTTAAATTTTGTATTGGTATGTGTTTTAGTTCTGGCTGTGCACCGCCCTGAGTCCACTAGGAGAAGGGCGGTATACAAATTGAATAAAATAAATAAATAAATAAAATAATAATAGCTACTTAATAATATTTAATAGAACAAATAGAATATTTCTAGCTCCGGGTTGAAGTGTGTGGTCCTTGGTGTTCTCTGAGCTTGGTTGTTTTCTTGCAGACCTTTTATTACCCAACTAGGTAACATCATCAGTGTTAATAAGAGGGGGGTTTGTGGAGAGGAGGAGGATAGTAAGGTCTTCAGGGCTCTCTAAGCTTGGTTGTTTTCTTGCAGACGTTTCATTACCCAGCTTGGTAATATCATCAATGCTAGAAGAGAGTGTGGTTTGCAGAGAGGAGGAGGACAACTTTGGGGTCCATGATGCTCTCTGAGCTTGGTGGTTTTCTTGCAGACATTCCATCACGTAGCACCGATGACGTTCTCTAGTTGGGTCATGAAACGTCTGCAAGAAAAGAACCAAGCACAGAAAGCACCCCACAATATTTAACAGAATAACATAGTTGGAAGGGACCTTGGAGGTCTTCTAGTCCAGCCCCCCGCCTAGGCAGGAAAACCTACACCACATTTGATAGTTCCACCCAGAATCTGAAGATTTAGTTGGAAGATAGACAAAATACCATATTTTTCGGAGTATAAGACGCACCGGAGTGTAAGACACAGCTTAGTTTTGGGGTAGGAAAATAGGTGGGGTGGGGGGGGGAAATCTGCCTACCAGGTATTCATCTGGCTAGCGTCCTTAGTCTGGTCAGCTCCAGCACATTAGTGTGCTGATTTTGAGCACGCACACATGCTTTTTATCCCCTGCTTGGGGATAAAACAGCTTCTAAAGCACAGCTGATCTTCGGAGAGAGAAGCAATGAGAAAAGCAGGCGAAGTCTTCGCTTCACTCGCTAGCGCCTTGTTAGGGGTGAAAAACAGCTTCTAAAGCACAGCTGACCTTTGGAGAGAGAAGCAATGAGAAAAGCAGGCAAAACATAGAAGATGCTTTACTCGCTAGCGCCTCGTTAGAGCTGAAAAACCGATTCTAAAGCACAGCTGATCTTTGGAGAGAGAAGCAATGAGAAAAGCGGGCAAAGCCTTCACTTCACCCCCTAGCGCCTCTTTAGGGCTAAAAATCAGCTTCTAAAACATAGCTGATCTTTGGGGAGAGAAGCAATGAGAAAATCAGGCAAAGCATAGAAGATGCTTCACTCGGTAGCGCCTCGTTAGAGCTGAAAAACCTATTCTAAAGCACAGTTGATCTTTGGAGAGAGAAGCAATGAGAAAAGCAGGCGAAGCCTTCGCTGCACTCGCTAGCACCTCGTTAGGGATGAAAAAAAGCTTTGAAAAAGTTACATTCGGAGGATAAGACGCACCCAAATTTTCAGCCTCTGGGGGGGGCGGGGGGGAGAAGTGTGTCTTATACGCCGAAAAATACGGTATACCAATACTCCTTATGGAGGGATAAAAGGAGAAAACCCAGATTTGCTTCATTTAAAAGACCAAAAAACATAGTACTCTGGGAGATACTGCCTAAAATCGCAGGCTTTGGAGAACATTCCCATTTTACGTCCTTAACCACGAATGGATGGGTTTGAGAACTTAAACCAGGTTCCTTGGAGGAAGAGGATGGGTTGCTCCGGTGCATCAGGGAAGCTAGGAGGATGTGGGGTTGAAGGCCACTTTTTCAGCTTGTGGGGAGAAATAGAACGGAGAGACGGATGATCCACGAAGAAATGAAGAAGGACCATCGTGGTCTCGTTGAGCCATCTGCATTTCAAAGCCAGCTCTTCAACCACATCAGAAGAGCTTGAAAGTGGAAGAAATTTCTTGTATCAAGCAATTGGGGTTCTTCTGTTAGAGCGGTTAGCAAAATGAGTCCCTCAGCTTTAAATGCTTCCAGGTGACCCATGATGGATTAAGGGTGTTCCTCCTAGTGAAGCTTTGGAAGAGGCTGTTCTGACCCAGGCTTCCCCAGCAGCACAAAGCCAAATCCTCGTCCCGATAAACCTCTTTTATTTAATTTACAGTGAATTCCTCTCCAGCAAAGTTTTTCAAGGTAGTTCACAGTTACCGACCTTTATCAGTTTTGGAGAGTGGCCAGGCCGATATCTTTCAGATGCCGCAATACCTGGCAAGAATGCAGGAATGAACTAATAGTCTCCTGCAAGCTCCACTCCCCGGTCGCTCCTCTTTTATTTCCTCTGGGAGGGACCATCGCCCACCTGTGGCCTTACTACCAAGTCGACCCTTGTTCTTTAGCTGTTCCCTTCGTCTGGCAACTCTGCTCATGCGCACACTGGGAACAGGCTCCAGCTGTTCGTCTGCCTCACTGATGTCTGACTCAGAAGGCAGCTGATAACTGGCATACAGCCCTGGTCCCCTCTCTGCCTCCGACGCAGTGCCCTCATCAGAGCCTTCCCCAGACTCCAGGACTGGCCCATGTTCCTCCCTGACCTCCTCACTGTCCGAATCTGCTGCCAGATCCGCTGGCCGCTGGCAGGCCAGAACAGAGGCCTAGAAGAGATGGACATCAAGCATCCTGGACCCGTTCCAGAACGTGAAGCTTTGGAAGAAAGCTTCAGGTTCTGGAACGTGTCCAGGATGCCTGATGGTCCACCTCTTCCAGGCCACTTGAGATGTCTGATGGGGACATCCCAAGACTAGGAGTTGACCTTTCCTGGGTTCTTCTCCCACTTTTGGTTTTGGGTGTGGATTTCCCTGAAGATCTTCCAAAGCTCTTTTTGTTGTGGCTCCATTACCTGAGCCTGTGTCATCAGCAGGAGAGGACTCAGAGAGTGAAAGAGAGGAGTTGGCAAGGCCTCCCTCTCCAGGACCCTCCTCTCTGGCAATGCCTTCGGTGTCCGCCGAAGGGCAAGAGATAGGGCTGGGGCCAAGCACGTCCACGCAGCCACAGATGGACAGTGATGAGGGTAATGAGTCTTGGCTGGATCCACGCCAGCGTTACAGAGATAAGCGTGCGCAACAGAAGAAAAGGCGTGCCCGAGATTAGGCTGAGTCACTGGACCACACCCCACAGGATATAAAAGGGAGCGCGGTGGCCAGTCAAACCTTGTGACGAACAAAGCTGAAAACTTCTACGCCATTCTGCATTGCCGGACTTTTTGCTATAGACTTTGCTGGATTATCTCTGGACTTGATTGACTCCGTAATTATTGAGCTGTTTCTTTTGATGTACCAGGAGTGGGGAGAAGTTATCTCTCCTCTTCGTAAATAATAAACTCTTAGCAGGCAGCCACTAGGTTGTTGCCAAGTTCCGTTATCATAAGGAAAAGGATTTTGCCAGCTGGTTTGGTCTTTAACTCTTGAACGTCTGTTGGTATGTGTGCGTGTGGTTGGGGACAGAACAGGTCTTCTGGTTTCTGGCACGCATGTGGGTGCAAAGACCAGCTGGCTGGTGCACATGCGCAAGCTGGAAACTGGAAGAGTAGCCACCCAGTGCACATGCAAACGCTAGGAAGAGGATCTTCCGGTTTTTGACGCACACATGACCACCGGCCAGCTGGTCTTCGCACGCACAGGTGCGCCAGAAACAGAAGACTAGGGGGAAACCGGAAGAGCAGGTGCCTGGGGCGCGCATGCTCACCGGGCGGCTGCCCTTCTGGTTTCCGGCATTCCCACACACGTGAAGACCAGCTGGCTGTCTCCAAGACCTGGAAGAACAATTGGCAACGGCTCGCGTGCCCATAGAGATGGCTCTGCATGACATTTCTGGCACGCATGCCATAGGCTCACCATCACGGCTCTAGGCTTTAATTACATTATTTTACTTTTCTGGAGATGGATAGCTCTCAAGATACTATTTGTCTTTATATTAATTACGGCTGTTTGCAAACTCTTCAACCCTCCTAAGGCGTTCCGTGGTTGTCTTTTGATTTGTTTTAATTCTGAATATTGGTTTTTACTGGGGCGGGAGGGGGGACAATTGAGCCGTGAACTAATTTGGCGAAGCAGAATTGTGCAACGGTTGTGTTTTTCTTTTGATCTGTGCCACACCTTTGTGAAGGTGTGTAATGAAGACACCTTGTTGTTATTGTTATTAAGGTCTGTCCAGGTGTCTCCTGCAGATTCCAACCGAGAATCCTGTAGGACAGCCTCAAATGTTGCTCAGTGTCATTGCCCTGCGTGACTTAAAGCTCTCTTTCTTCCCAAAATTTTGGAGAACATCAAGATTTCAACTTTGCATTTTTCTTAGGTCAGGGGTCCCCGACCCATAGTCCGCAGCCCGGCACCGGTCCTTGGTCCTGGCTAGCAGTGGTCCACGCAAGCATGCAAAACCAAAATCCTCCCCACGGAAAAATAACGCTCCATGGAACTGGTCCCCAATGCCCAAAACGTTGGGTGGGGGGCTCTTGTCTTAGACTCAAACTCAAGACCCAGAGGCCACAGGGGGCTTAGATCTGGCCCTCAGGGCCATCCTGAAAGCAGCTTTTGGCCTAGACGGCCTCCTGCAGCCCTCTGCCAGCGAAAACAGAGCTGGGGGGAGCGGGCATTTTTGTTGGCAGAGGGCTATCAAGACAAACTAAAAACTAACCAAAAGGAGAAATGTTTCCCCTTTTTCATTTGAGCATGCAAGAAGGGAAGAGAAAGGGGAATGACAAAGAAAAAGAGGGACAGATGGGAAGAGAGCAAGGAAGGAAAAATAAGGAAAGAGGGGAAGAAAGAAAAAGGAGGGAGGGAGGGAGGAAGGAAGGAAGGAAGGAAGGAAGGAAGGAAGGAAGGAAGGAGTTGGCCACTACAGGTGCCCCCGACACGAGTGATGT